CCCTCCAGAGCAACAAAGTTACCTTATAGCTGTTTACAATATTTTTTGTCAAGAGATTCTTGTAAGTCTGAGGTTCGTCTTGAAGTTTTGGCAGCGTCTTGCAAGACGGCAACCATTACTTGTGAAGTTAAAGTTTGGGGGGAGAGGGAGGGAAGACGACAGCAGTGGGTATAATGAGGTATGAGTGAGGGGGATAAGTGATGGTATAATAGGGGATAAATAGGGTAAAAAAGTGAGGGGATAAAATGAGGGTATAAGTGAGGGGTATGAGTGACGCAAGAGTGAGGGTATGATGAGGGGGATAATTGAGGGTATGAGTAAGGGGATAAGTGAGGGGGAAAGAGTGAGGGTATAAGTGGACGGGATAAGTGAGGGTATAAGCGAGGGTATGAGTGAGGTATGACTGAGGGGAAAAGTGAGGGGGATAAGTGAGAGGTATAAGTGAGGGTAGGAGGGGAGGTAATTACTGAGGGGATACAGAAGTGTAAGTGAGGGGTATAAGTGAAGGTATGAGTGAGGGTGTGAGTGAGAGGTATAAGTGAGGGTATGAGTGAGGAGTATAAGTGAAGGGTATAAGTGAGGGGGTGTGAGTTAGGGTATGGGAGGGTATAACGAGGGGATAGTGAGGGTATAAGTGAGGTATGAGTGAGGAGGATAAATGAGGGTATGAAAGAGGGTATAAGTGAGAAGTAAGTGAGGGTATAAGTAAGGGGATGAGTGAGGTATAATTGAGGTATAAGTGAGGGGTTGAGTGAAGAGTAAAGTGAAAGGTATAAGGAGGGGGGGTTTGGGGGAGGGTATTGGGGTATGAGTGAGGGGTATGAGTGAGGGCATGAGTGAGGTATGAGTGAGGGGATAAGTGAGGGTATGAGTAAGAGTATGAGTGAGGTGTAAGTGAAGGATATAAGTGAGGGGGATAAGTGAGGGTGTAAGTAAGGGGACGGTGAGGGGATAATGAGGGGTATAAAGTGGGTGTATAAGTGAGGTATAATGAGGTATAAGTGAGGGGTATGAGTGAAGAGTATAAGTGAAGGGTAAAAGTGAGGGGTGTGGTGAGGGTAAATTTGGGGGGATGAGTGAGGGTATATGAGGGTATGATTGAGGGTATAAATGAGGGTATAAGTAAGGGTATGAGTGAGGGTATGAGCGAGGGTTTAAAATGAGGGGTATAATGAGGAGTAGAGTAGGGGTATAAATAGGGGATAAGTGAGGGATGAGTGAGGGGATGTGAAGGTATGAGTGAGGTAAAGTAAGGTCTAAGTGAGAGGTATAATGAGGGGTATAAGTAAAGGTATGGGGTGGGTATAAGTGAGGGTATGAGTAAGGGGAAATGAGGGGTATAAGTGAGGGTATAAGTGAGAGTATGAGTGAGGGTATAAGTGAGAGTATGAGTGAGGGTATAAGTGAGGGTAGAGTCAGGGGATAAGGAGGTTTAAGTGAGGGTATGAGTCAGGGTATAAGTGAGGGCATAAGTGAGGGTATGAGTCAGGGTATAAGTGAGGGAATAAGTGAGGGTATGAGTCAGGGTATAATTGAGGGTATAAGTGAGGGTATAAGTGAGGGTATGAGTGAGGGTATAAGTCAGAGTATAAGTGAGGGTATAAGTGAGGGTATGAGTCAGGGTATAAGTGAGGGGAAGGGTACTACAATATATATTAATAACACAAGTCGTCAATACACAAACTGACAGACGGTCGATGAGGGAAGAGGGGAGAGAGAGAGAGGAAGAGGGGAGGAAAGCAAGGGGAGATAACAGGGAGAGAAGAGAAGGGAGATTAAAGGGAGGGAAGAGAGGGGAGATAAGAGGGGAAGAGTAAGGGGAAGGGTTAACCACTTAGCTTGGAGGTTAATGGTACGTAAAGCATTCACTAACAACAGAAATAATAATAACAACAACAGTCATAAACAACAACAGTCACAAATGACAACAGTCACAAATGACAAACAGTCACAAATGACAACAGTCACACAATGACAACAGTCACAAATGACAACAGTCACAAATGACAACAGTCACAAATGACAACAGTCACAAATGACAACAGTCACAAATGACAACAGTCACAAATGACAACAGTCACAAATGACAACAGTCACAAATGACAACAGTCACAAATGACAACAGTCACAAATGACAACAGTCACAAATGACAACAGTCACAAACAACAACAGTCACAAACAACAATAGTCACAGACAACAACAGACACAGACAACAACAGTCACAAACAACAATAGTCACAGACAACAACAGTCACAAACAACAACAGTCACAAACAACAATAGTCACAGACAACAACAGACACAAACAACAACAGTCAAAAACAACAATAGTCACAGAAACAAGAGTCACAAACAACAACAGTCACAGACAACAACAGTCACAAACAACAATAGTCACAGAAAACAATAGTCAAAAACAATAACAGTCGCGGACAAGAACAGTCACAAACAACAGTCACAGAAAACAATAGTCACAAACAACAACAGTCACAAACAAC